AGTAGCCAACCTCTGCAGGAGGAAGAGAAGATGAAGACCTCTGTCAGAGACTGGGACTCCAGTCCTCAGTCTGACATCACCGGAAAGGAGCAAAGTCTCTGGGCCTCATATCTGAAAGAGCTGTTTGTTGTTGGTGTTGTCCAGCAGCTCACAAAGAGCTTTTAACACTTGGTGTCTCTGACACAGGCTGGGATCCCAACTGAAAAGGGTAGTCACAGGGCATGAGGATGGGATGCCAGGATAGGCCGCAGTGGCACCCACCTGCCCAGGCTCTAAGACAAGAGAGCTGCCAAAAAGCCCCAAAGCCAAAACCAAGGGCTGGAGCATTACAGTACCCATACGATAGGGGCCTACAGGCTAGAGCCGATGGAAGGATAGTGCCCGGTAGAGGACTCATCACTGTGGTTCTCAACCGTGTGCACAATTGCAAAACTATTTTCTAAATGTCACTTAGACACCATTGGCTTTTTCACTATTTTGACAACTGCTGAGGTAAAACTTACTAAAAATGGAGCTTATATTACTAACTGCAGTTTTTCTTCACAACTACTTACCTCAAAAACACAACTCAAAGGCAGTGTCATTTCAAAGTGTCTTGGTTGAAGCATTAAAAATTATCTTCATTATTCTGTCATCCTCAAATCCACATTTTACAGCACCTGATGCGATGACACGCAAGTGCACACACAACACTCCTGTTGCGTCCCCAACTACCATGTGCCAAGGAAAATATTTGCATGCGATGAATTAGACAGTTTTTTTTTTTTTTGTAGGCAATTCCATCTGCACATGAAGGAATGAATGACAAAATCTGTGGCTATTTGATTCGGTTAATTAGACAGACATTGTCCTGAACATGAGTGTGTGCTCCTTTGAGAAAATCAACTGACAATTGATAACTGAGAGTAACTTCACCTTGACCAAATGCAAGTGCTCAGAAAAAAACAGAATCATGGAAAATTGTGTCCTATCACTAACTTGACAACTTCCAGTACTACTTTTACTTTTTGGATTTGTGGTGAAAAATAAAATAAATTTTTTAAAATAATTTGATTCCAGTGTAATGAACATTGAAGAGCTTTATAATTTGTGGAACAATATATTACTTTAAAAAAATCACACATTAAAACTAACTGCAGTTAGTTTTATGCAAGAGAGAACTATGGAAATGTAACTGAATAAGAAATATTTAATGATATTGTTTCAGGTTTCACTTTGCAAATAACCTGGGAGAAAATACCACCTGTATAGATTTAATTTAGTATCAAAGTGGAATATTCACAATAATGTGAAAACACTACTCCAACATATTTGTGTGAGGCTGTAGACATTTTTTCATAGACTTCAACCAGAACCACAGCTAAATGCAGAAGGAAACATGAAAATCCTACTGTCTTCTAATGAGACAGACAAGAAAAAACAATGAGACAGACAAGAAAGACAACTGCAAACATAAAACACATGAAAGATCCACTCTTCCCATTGCCTTGATTAAAGGAAGTTATTTAACAGGCATTGGTTATTGATTATCTATTAACAGGCATTGGATTATTACTATTATTCTAAATGAAACAGCTACATGATCAAACTCAGCTTTATTCCCAGTGTGGTCAATATGGGGAGCGATACCTCCTAAACAAGATTATACTTGGCGTCCTCCCTAATTTGTAAGAATGGACACGGATCCGGAATGGAAAATGACTGAGAATCCCAGACCCAGCGCTTGGGTCACCGAGACAGGGTGAGGAAGCTTGGGGTGAGGAGAGGAGGGGGCAGAGCAAAGCCCCAGATCCCCTAGTCTGGTTCTCATAGTTCCAGGCCCCAGGGCTGTGTCTAGGGCAGGAAGGTTACTGTTGGGGATACCCCACTGCCCCCTTAGCCTCCCTTCTGTCTCCACCACCTGTGCTGGGCCCTGGACACTTGTGACTCCTCCCCAGTTCTCAGTCCCAGTGCCTGGAGGTTCCCAGAGAACCAGTCAGCATCACTGCCTGACCAGGTAAGTCTCCACCCACCAGGCTGGAGTCAGAAGCTCCCCAGACCCCAGCAGTGCTGGTCATGGTGTTATAGGACAGGGAGAGGGGCAGCCCAAACCCCGCAAACCTGCCTATTCTAAATGGGTTCGGCCATCCGCCGCATCAACACAAAACACATGAGACTAATGGGAAGGATCTTTAATAAAACTAGGAAACAATACAGGTACGGCAAAGAGTCTAGTTTCTAAATGAAGCACCCAAAGTTACCCGTCCCCTCGTGGGTAAAAGTCCATCCATATGGGATCGGCCCAGAGCAAGGCCCCAAAGCCTGCTACAAGTCTAAAGCATCTTCCAGTGGGGACCCACAGAAAAGGGTCACAAACAACCAGACAAGCCCAGAAGGAAAAGAGCAAAATCAACATCAAGATAAAAGCTGCCATTGTCAACTCCCCACGGGTCTCACCCACATCTGTGTCACCCAGTCCAGGACCAAAAGACAAGCACAGTTTCTTCACGTGTCTCTAGGCTCCATGAGCCTCCTCCAGGTCTCCAGGCTCCATCCTGCTTCCTTCCTCAGTCTCTTCTGCAGCTTCTCCTCTTCCTGCTCAGCTCCACCCTCCCTTGGGTGGGGCAGGGAACCTCCCCCTTTCCTGGGGACAACCCTGTTACAATGGGGCCCCCAACCCTCCTCCTGCTGCTTCTCTCCAGGGCTCTGGCCCAGACAGACCCCTGGGCTGGAGAGTGCAGGGTGGAGGGAAAAGGCTTCTGCAGAGGAAGCTGCTGCCTTAGGCCCCTCTGTCACCCCTGTGGCGCCCCTCAGTCCTGGCCCCTTTCTGTCCCCCCCACTCTGCCTCCTCCTTTAGTCCCCCTGAGTCTTGCCCCATCTGGACCCGCTGCCCATGTTCAGTCTCTGGAGCTCCCTCTCTCCTGGACACTTTCTCCCCTGCCCCATCTCCCTGGGACTCAGGACCCGCCCCGGGAGGAGGGTCCGCCCAGCTTTCACCCCTCCCCGCCCCCAGGCTCCCCCTCTCTGAGGGTGTTAGAAATGGTGATGTCCCGCCCGGCCTCGGGGAGCCCCGGTGCATCGCGGGGGCTACGTGGACGACCCGCAGTTCGGGGGTTCGACAGCGACTCCCTGGGCCAGAGCGCGGAGCCGCGGGCCCCAGGGCGGGCGGGGCGGGAGGGTCGGGCGAGGAGACGCGGCTCCGCAGACACTCGGCGCGGAGGCTCCAAGCGCTCCTGGAGGCCCCGCGCGGCCGCCGCAGCCAGAGCCCGGCCGGGGAGCAGCGCGGGCCGGGGCGGGTCACCGCTCCCGCCCCACCCCCCGCCCCGAGTCTCGGGGCCCCGTGACCCCCGAGGCCGTGGCCCCTGCCAGGCCCCTTGACCGGGAAGAGCCCGCGGGACTTTCACCTTTAGGTTTTATTTAAGTTCAGGATTATTCAGGGCGGGAGATCGGGTGCGGGCGGAGACCACGGGGTGACTGAAGGCCGGGCTCAGGGTCTCCCACGGTCCAGAGGACTCTGGGCTGCGCCGCGGGGCCCGACGGCGCCTCCCCCGCGGGCACGACCAGCTCCCCACGACGGCGCCGGGGACGCGCCCTGGGCGGGGACCTGCGCGCCTGGACCCGGCGGGCCCGCGGCTCAGCTCCCCGGCGCGAGGGGGAGGGGGAAGGTCGGGCAGAGCAGGACGGGAGCAGCCTGGGGGGCGGGTGCGTGGAGGGGCCCCCAGACTCCTGGGGATGGGGAAGGAGGCGCCGCAGCTCAGAGGTGAGAGGGCTGGGGGGCCTTTGATCTCCCTGAGGCGCGCACCCCGCAGGGAAATGGAATCATGGTGAGGAAGCGCCCCCTTCTGGCCAGAGAGGGAGCTGTCGGCCACGTTTTCCAGCTCTGGGATGGAGACTGGCCAGGAGGCTCCTACTTTTTCTGAAGGACAGTTAAGGAATCCAGTTTCTCCTGAGAAAGAGGGGAGACCATCCCTGAAATCACCCTTCACTGGATCCTTTTGACCGGCAGCCATCTTAGGAGCAAAGAGTTTCTCTCTCGAGATCTTGTTTTTTGGTCAGAGAGCATTTTTGGAGATCTCACTCCTGCCTGTCTGTGTCATCACCCTCCACCCAAGTCAGCAACAAAATGCTCAGGGACCTGCATCCCACCCTGGGCTCTCACCTGCTATCCCCCCTCCCAGACCGGGCTGGTTTCTAGGGTTTGTGCTCCTCCCTCCAAGCATACTGTTCTGTCCACTGGAGGATGGTCACATGAGGCTGCTTCAGTGTCCGTGGAGGAAACACATGGCATGACATTTCTGATTCTTCCTACTCAGGCCCCCAATCGCCATATGTGACCCATCACCCCATGTCTGAGCATGAGGTCACTGTGAGGTGCTTCAAACGTGCAGATATCATCCTGACCTGGCAGCGAGATGGGGAGGACCTGGCCCAGGAAACGGAGCTCATGATGGGGTGGGGGGGAGGAATGGAAACTTCCAGAAGTGGGCAGCTGTGGAGGTGTCTTCTGGAGAGGAGCAGAGATACACATGCCATGTGCAGTATGAAGGGCTGATAGTACCCCGAGTCCTGAGATGAGGTTAGGAGGGGGATGTGGGCACACGGCTGACTCAGGGGCATCAGAAGCCCTTCTGGAGACCTTCAGAGGGTCAGACTGAGGCCTCAGGTTCAGGGTCTGACCTTCTCTTCCCTTCCAGTGCCACCTCCTCAGTTCTCCATCCTTGCCATGGTCCTCATTTCTGGCTTGGTTTTCTTTGTAGGTGTGCTCATTGCACACAAGGTGGTTTCATGTGTGAGAGGGTAGAAGAAGTGCTCAGGTAGGGAAGGCAATGGGGGATCTTGTCCACTAGGAGCTTTCATGTCCCAGGGAGAACTTGCCCTGCCTGGTTAATGGGAAGTACCATCCACACACACGGGTGTTGCTCAGAGGGCATTTGGTCCAGTCCCCCTTCATCTCCTTTCCTCATTTTTCCCAGTCCTGACCTGGGTCTTTACCTCACAGTTCTGGAAATTTCCCTGTTCTGCAGGATTAGAAGATTCCTTTTGGACTTCTGACCTGGCTGCTCCATGGTCTCACATGATGCTTCTTCCCACGGGAGGACAAGGAGGAAGCTACGCTCAGGCTGCAAGTAAGTGTGGTCAAGGGTTGGAGACCTGAGGCCCTGGGGACAGTGTAGATGGAGCCCATGGGGGAGTCACTCTCATCAGTTCCTCCCATGGTCTCATCTCTCACCAAATTTTGTTGTGTTCTCCCCCAGGCAGCCACAGTCCCAGTGCTCTGAAGTGTATGTCAGCCCCTAAAGGTGAGACCCTGGAGGACTGCAGTAGGGGTGGGGGTTGAGGCATGGAGGCTGGGACTAGGTGATGGGGATGCTTTCAGGAGGACATCTTGAAAATGCAGTGGACCATTGATAATGTTAACACTTAGGTAATTCACCTGAATTTCTTCATGATATTTTCTTTCACAGTGTGAGACAGCCTTGTATTGGCCTGAGTGTTACAGGATTTCTTTTTGCCCACGTTTTGTGGCTTTATGATCCCCTGGTTTCAACCAATTCACACCTGCGAGAATGGCCCATATTCAAAAGACGAGAAACAGTAGGTGCTGGCAAGGATATGGAAAAAAGGGGACAGTCCTACATTGTGTTTGGATATAGACTGAGCCAGCCCTTATGGAAACAGTACTGAGGTTTCTTTTTTTTTTTTAAAGATTTATTCATTTACACAAGAACAGGGGTACAGGCCAGATGTGCAGTAGGGTGAGAGGATTCACCACAGACAGAGGGGGGAACAGAACAGGCAGACTGATGAAATACACTGCTGAGGCGAGCAGCAGGCGCGACAGGAGAGGTCTGCCGCACCATGTGGGACCCTTGTTGGCCGGCCGTGATCAAACTGGCGCTGCAGAGGCCACAGACAGCTTCACAGCACGGCGTTCAACCGCCTGCGCCATGAGGGGAGGCCCAGTACTGAGGCTACTTAAAAGAGTAAATGTGGTTCTGCCATTGGTCCCAGCAATTCTACTGTGAGGATCCACTCACAGAGGATAAATACTCTCCTGTGAAGGGACCTGCACTCCCGTCACCACTGCAGCACTATTTACAGTAGCCAAGCGATGGACACCACCTAAATGCCCCAAACAGGTGGGAAATTAAGAAGAAGCTGGGATTACACGTATACATATATGTACATATACAGATGACTCCAAAGGAGATGAACGTTGGGGTTTGGGGGAGGGAACTGTCAGGGGTGAAGATGCCACCACATCCTAGCAGGGGCCAGAGTAGGGAAGAGGTCTTGCCCAACTCCTTATACCTCAAGCCCACCATGAGATATTTCTAAATCTCCTCCCCTTCTGCAGGTCCAATGCTTTTTCAGTCCTGCTCAGAAGCTGCTTCTCCATGGAACTGTATTTATTGAGGTGTTGTTCTGACACTCTTTACTCTGTGTGTGATTTGAATTAATCTATTCTGGGGCTTGATGTTAATTGACGTCCCATCATCTTATGTTGTGTGCCCTGTCTCTCCTATTACACACACACACACACACACATACACACACACACTCACGCACTCCACTCTCCTTGGGAACCAGATCCTCACTCAGCACTGGGGTTACTCTGACCCTCTGTCTCTGGTCCCCTCAGAGCCGCCCTCTCTGCAGTGTTTCTACTCAGTGGGGTCCAAGCAGCCCCAGAAGTCCCTGCACCTCCTGCCTCTGACCTTGTGGGAAACCAGCCCCTCACCCTGCGTGACAGTGAGGAGGTGAAAGCAAAGTCCTGATGTCAGTGACTGATGGAGGAGATAATTTACTTTTTTCTTTTCTTTTTCCCTTATTGTATTATTCAGTTGAGGTAACATTGGCTTACACACTGTATGTGTTCAGAGGCAAGGGTCACACCTCTTCAGATGTTTGTTACCACATCATACCCACCCTAACGGCACCCATAGTCTTCACCATAGTCCATTAGGCCTCCTCCTATTTTGTTTCCTCCTCTTACCCCCAGCCCATAGCTTCAATTCTGCAGTGATATATAGAGAGTATGTTTTGGTTTAGTTTCACCTGTCTCTGCTTTATTTCTTTATATTCCAGATATGAATGAAATCATCCAGTATGTAACTTTCTTCTTCAAACTTATTTCACTTAGCATAATCCCACCCATATCTATCCATGTTGTTGCAAATTCAGTATTCCATCTTTCTCACAGACGAACAGTATTCCACTGTGTATATAGGCTGTGTTCTTTATCCCCTCATCTGCCGTTGGGCACTTAGGTTGTCTCCATCGCTTGGTTATGATAGACAGCGCTGCAGTGACCATAGGAGGTGCATATTCCTTGGAATCAGTGTTTTTACTTTCTTTGGATAAATACCAAGAAATGGGATGCTTGACCTTGTGACAGGTCCATTTTGAGGAATCTTCGTTGTTGTTTTTTTTTTCCATAGGGGCAGGACCAATGTGCTATCCATAGAAAAGAGAGGTTCCATTTTACCGCCCCACCCAAGGAAAGGTGGAGCTGAGCAGGCATGAGAAGCTAAGGAAGAGGAAGAAGACGTGGAGTAAGATGAGGAAAGAAGACTGGAGCTGGTGCATGGAGCAGAGAGACGTGAAGAAGAAACCACACTTGCTCCTCACTTGGACGTGTGCCAGGAGTTGGGGACATGGAGACAGACACATGAAAGAGACAAAAATGTGGATGAGAGACCCATGGGTTCTGCCATCCGCCGCATCAACACAAAACATAGGAGACTTTAATGGGAAGGAACTTTAATAAAACTAGGAAACAATACAGGTAAGGCAAAGAGTCTAGTTTCTAAATGAAGCACCCAAAGTTACCCATCCCCTCGTGGGTAAAAGTCCATCCAAATGGGATTGGCCCAGAACAAGGCCCCAAAGCCTGCCACAAGTCTAAGGCATCTTCCAGTGGGGACCCTCAGAAAAGGGTCAGAAACAACCAGACAATCCCGGAAGGAAAAGAGCAAAATCAAAATGAAGATAAAAGCTGCCATTGTCACCTCCCCATGGGTCTCACCCACATCTTTGTCACCCAGTCCACGACCAAAAGACAAGCGCAGTTTCTTCACGTGTCTCTAGGCTCCATGTGCCTCCTCCAGATCTCCTGGCTCCATCCTGCTTCCTTCCTCAGTCTCTTCTGCAGCTTCTCCTCTTCCTGCTCAGCTTCACCCTTCCTTGGGTGGGGCAGGGAACCTCCCCCTTTCCTGGGGACCACCTGTTACACCCTCAGTGCCATCACACAGGGCATTGAAAAGAGGGACTGTCCCACTCTCCGGAGAGGGAGGGACCAGCCCAAAACACAGGCCAGGATGGGAGGACAGTCTTGATGGTCAGCTGCCTCTGACTATGGAGAACCTGGTGCAGGAGACCTTCTCTGAAGAAGCCCAGAGGTGAGACAGGAACCCCTGTTTAACTTTCTATATGGATAACCCTCGGGTGACCCTAGAAGTGGCAGACAAAAATACCATCTTTTTGAAAATAATGGGCCGCCATTTACTCTGCCTTGCTGCAATTCTTTAGACTGACCTAATGATTGGTTGTTCCCCTCACTAGTACTGATGGCCACACTGAGCCAGGACACTGTACAGCACTGCTTCCTTGCTCGCTACAAGGCCACATGTTTATGTTTTCATCTTGCTTTCCTAGCTTCCTCTATTAGGAGGGCATGGTGACTAAATTCCAAACTAACAGCCTAGGCAGCCACGATTGGCTCTCCCAGCTGCTTCTACACAAGACAGGAATAACACCAAAGCCCTAATTCTCACTGATGCTGCAATCCCTCCAGGTGTTTGGGACACTACAGTGCCAGGCCTAGGTGTCTTTGCCACCCCTCTTAGGGTGCAATTAAAGGAACCTCCTCTTTTCCTGATGGAACCACAACACCCCTCAAGCCAAAGCCTAACAATGCTCCTTGAATCCCCTAATCTCAGTGGTTATGTAACACCATGGAGTGCTGGGCTCACTCATTGGTTGGCCCTCCTTACTCTTAAATCCTTAAAACACAACTCCTGTCCTGGCTGTTTGTGGCAGACTGCCCTACCCATGCTGTCTCTTGACAAGTTCTGGGTATTGGGGGAGACTTGCAAGAAGAGGGGAGTTCCTGTGCTCCCCTGAAGAGGGAAGTTGTACTTCCCAGAAGAGGGGAGTTCTTGCACTTCCCAAGAAGATCTGAACTAGGGAGTCTCCATGGCAACGCCTGCCAATGCTCTCCTCTTTGTTCTTGGTTAATACTAAAGTAAGTTAGTTATTAATTGGCCTGTGAAAACTCTATTCGGACCTAGACGTTAATTGATTTATTGTTCTTACACTTGAATCATTATCAAAGAAAGTACAAAATGTTAAAAGTATAGTTAGGAAAGAAATGTTTAGTCCTGAGAACTATGGAGAACAAGCTGCCCTGAACCAGTTGTGCTTGGAAACCGGAGCCTAAGTGGGGGGGGGGGGGGGGGTTGCCGCAACAGTGCATTTCCTGGTGTATGTGAAAGGTCAACAGTTCACAGGTTGCATGGAGGTTAGTTATTTCTAGTTAAAAGTTAGACTTCTGTAGAATTAAAACAGTATTGATGAATTACTTTAGACCACTTTGAAGTAATTGATAAATAGGCTAGATGAATTGAGTGCTAGGGAATGGGTTGATTTTAGTAATAAAGCATAACAATGGACTCTCATGTCCACTCCGAAATTAGGAAAGCTTGACAGCATGATTGATTGTTACTGAACATGGTACTGTCTTAGACAATTGATTATGCAAGAAAATGAGTTGTACTCAGGAGAGTAATTGTCCCTGTTGTTTTTCTTTCTTTTTTTTTTTATAGAGGCATGTTTTATTTATTTACTTATTTGTTTGTTTGTTTTGCTTGTTTATACATGCACTGGGTACAGTAAGAAGCGTGGGAGGGTGAGAGAATCCACCAGAGCCAGAGCCGGGAGCAGAGCAGGCAGAAGGACCGAAGCACACTGCTGAGGGGAGCAGCGGGCGGCAGGAGAGGTCTGCGCGCCATGTGGGGCCCTCCTCCGGTGGCCGGGGAGCAGCCGGGGATCGAACTGGCGCCGCAGAGGCCATGGCAGCTTCTGGCAGCTTTGCAGCCCAGAGCTCAACTGCTGCGCCACCTGGGAGGCCCCCTGTTGTTTTTCTTAATCATATTAAAGAAGTGTCCTTTTGAGAGATCAAGAGGGTCTCTGCATGTTCATGAGAAAATATGTCATGATTGTCTCTGCTCTGCTTGGATGCTTATGCGGATGTCATCTCCCCTTAAGGTATAAAGACCTGCTGAGCCCCTCGGGAGGAGACACTTGCACCAGAGAGAGTGTCAGTGTCTCCTCACTACCTCGTCTCCCTCAATCCACTTCCCCTCAGCCCCCCAAGATTTCACCGACGTGTCCTCTCCTTTCGGAGGCCCCGGACATGCCATGTAGCTGGAGCTGGTCTCCAGAAGCTCTTCCCCCTTCTCATTCCCTTACTGAAACTTTTTTTTTTTTTCATTTTTCTCTTCACTCGTTCACTTTTTTAGATCAACCCAGGAGGGTCCAGCGGATGCCCCATTGAGCCCGCAAGGTCCTCTTCCTCCTCCCTGGCCCCCCGGGAGGCGGGGGTGCGGCAAGTATCGGATCTGGGGACCAGTCAGCGCATCCACGCGGCGGGGAGACGCTGCGAGAAAGTTCTCCCATGAAACAGGAGGGAGACACGGCGGCAGGTCCCTTGAGAACCTGGACACGCAAGATAAACCGGCGACGCGGCAAACGGCCCGGAGAGGAGAGTTGCAGGCACAGAGGCGGGGAGAGGCGAGCAGCAGACCCCGGCGCCTCCCCCACCATTAACTCCAGCGCGCCCCGCCCCGCAGAAGGGGGGGAAACCAGAACCGCCGCGGGACCCGCAGGACGCGAGCAGAAGGGAGGCGCTTCAGCGGCCACACCTGCGGCCAGGGGCGCTGTGGGGACCCGCCACGGCCGTGAGCCAAGGGCGCTGGGTCATAACAGACTCGGCGCCCCCAGAGCAAGGCGGGGACCCCGCGGAGACCCGCCAACAGCCAAGGGCAGCCGGGAGCGCGGGGAGCACCGGCGGGTGCGGCTGCCCAGGTCCCCGCCCGCGCCCTGGGGCTGTGGGGAGACGCGGAGCCGGCGCTGGGGTGAGTCTCCGAAGCGGGGTTCACCCCTGGTGGACCCAACTCCTGGTTAGGTCGCACAGCCCGTGCCTGCGGGGACAGACAGCAGCGCCCCCATCCCGGGTCAGGGGTGGGACAGGCCGGGCCAGTCTGGTCCTGGCGGCGGGGTCGGTGCCAACCGCAGGTCTCATCCAGGCTCAGCAGGAGTGAGATGCCCGCACAGCTGTTAGGGCGGAGGGATGGCGGTTTAGGAAGTTTAAAGTAAATGGAGCTTGATGTATTTGTTCCCGTGGGGGCAACTTGCTCTCTCGATTCCCACTTTTTGTTTAATAAGTTGTGTTTTAAGGAACCTATTGGCTCTTTTAACTGTAAAGAGTTATTAAGTACGTCCTGTAGGGTTACCAGGGACGCCAGGCACATGTGGAATATTCCAAACTAGCAGGAGGAGTTAGAGTTTTTTTTGTTTGTTTGTTTTAGTATGTTTACCAGTTTACCCTGTTTGGGCCGAGGCTTGAATTAATGCAGAATAGGTGTCTTTAAAGACGTGAATATAATGTCTATTTGTCAAATATAATTATGGTGGAGACTTGAGGCTTCTGTATTATTTCTGTTAGGGGGAAAGGATGTCTGAGCTAATTCCGTACAGGCTTTGTGGACTCAACCTCCACTCCAGACCAAAGCCATCAGGACATTGGGAAAGACAAATCCCAGCACCATCAAAGGGAAGGTGGCTGGGACCTGAGGGTGGAGTTGGGCAGCCAGGTTTAGTATAAAAACCAAACACGTGGGCCTTGGGGGGCTCCCTGTTGCTCGCCTCCTGGCTTCAGGGCCCTATTCTGAATTTTTAAATTTGGAAGTGGGCCTCCCTGGTGGCGCAGCAGTTGAGCGCTGGGTTGCGAAGCTGCCCGCAGCCTCTGCAGCGCAGGTTCAATCCCTGGCTGCTCCCCGGCCACCAGAGGAGGGTCCCACATGGCACGCAGACCTCTCCTGCCACCCACTGCTCCCCTCAGCAGTGTACTTCGGTCCTTCTGCCTGCTCTGCTCCCCACTCTGGTTCTGGTGAATTCTCTCACCCTCTCGTGCTTCTGACTGTGCCCAGTGCTTGTATAAATAAATTAAACTTATAAACAAATAAATAAATAAATAAATTTGAAAGTCTTGGTGGCTTGTTCTATTATCTATTACCAGGCACTATCCTAGAGAGATAAACTCCTACATTCTCAAATCACTGCTGCTGGCAACACTAGCATCTCTTTGAATCTAGTTGTATTGTTAAAAATTACTTTTGAACATAAATACCTGCATTATCAAAGGTCCCTCCTAGATGACAGCAGGAGGGTTTCCAGGCTTGAGGACCCCTAACCCTGAGAAGGGGTGAGTAGGAGTCACCGGATGACTGACCTTTCTTTCCCTCAGGTGGAAGGGGGTGCAGTTTCCACTCCCATAGCTGTGTCCTCAAGGACTTATTGCCCCTTATTTAAAACTGAGCCTAGAAAAATTGTATCACTATGCAATAGGGAGCAGAATTAGGATTATCTTGGTGTTTCCTTCGAGCTCATTTACTTTGCTGCATCGTGTTCTACAGCTATTTTTTGTTTTTGCTTTTTCAGTTAGTGAATCATTCTTCTTTATTTTTTCACTATGTAGAATTTCTCCCCTCAGTTGGGGTCATACAGTTTTTCTACCACCAACGCTCACACAGCCTCCTCCACCAGCCCCCCCCATTCTCTACTCTCCCCCTTTCCTTCTGCTTCTGCTCCTGTGTGTCAGGTCTAAGGTCTGATTTCTAGGGTCAGACTTACTGTGTGTCTTTGTCTGATCCTTTGTTTAGTGTCTCTAGATTCCACATATAAGTGACACAATCTGTATTTCCCTTTATCCTTCTGGCTCACTTTTAGAATCATCCTTTCCAGCTCCATCCATGTTGCTGCAAACGGCATGAGCTTTTCTTTTTTTTTGATCATTGATAAAATTCCATTGAGTACATGTGCCATGTCTTCTTGATCCACCCATAAGTACTTAGGAATTTAAGTTGCTTCCATATTGGAATCCCTGGATCACCTGGGAAGTCCATATTTCGTCTTTTGAGAAAAGACTTCCTTCCACAGGGGCGGGACCTGTCTACCAAGAGTGTGATAGGGCTCCTTCCCCTCCACACCCTCACCAGCACTTGTTTGTTGTTTTTTAAATATGAGCCATTCTCACAGGAGTATCTCACTGTGGTTTTGATCTGAATTTCCCGGGTTGATGATGAGCGTATTTCACATGTCACGAGCCATCTTCATGTCTTCTCTGGAGAAGTGCCCGTTTAGCTCTTCTGCCCATGTTCTGATTGAGTTGTTTGTTTTCTTCTGGTTGAGCTGCGCAAGTGCTCTGTAGGTCTTCTATGTCAATTCTTTGTCACATGTGTGCTGTGCCAATATTTTCTCCCATTCGGTGGGGTGCCTCTTTGTTTTGGCCACTGTCCCTCTCACTGTACAGAAGCTTTTTGGTTTGATGTAGTCCCGGTTGTTTATTTTCCCCTTTGTTTAATTTGAGGTTTACTTCATGGAGTGTTTTGCTTCGTTTTCTTCTATGTATTTTACGGTTTCAGATCTTACATCCAAGACTTTTATCTATTTTGAATTGTATGGTGTGAGCAAGTAGTCTAGTTTCATTCTTTTGCATGTGGCAGTCCAATATCCCCAGTATCAATACTGAAGAGGCATTCCTTCTTCCAGTGTTGATGCTTTGCTCCTTTGTCAAAGAGTAATTGTCAGGCCTCCCTGGTGGCGCAAGGGGTTAAGCACAGCACTATGAAGCAAGCCACAGCCTCTGCAGCACAAATTGGATCCCTGGCCAGCCAGGGATCAAATGCTTATCAAATGCTTTCTCAGCATATACCGATATGACCATGTGGTATTTCCTTTCCTTCCCTTTCCTTTTTTTTTTTTTTAAAGATTTATTTGTACAAGAGCTGGAGTACAGGCCAGAGGCACAAGAGGGTGAGAGAATTTACCAGAAACAGAGCAGGGAGCAGAACAGGCAGATGGACAGAAAACATTGCTGAGGGGAGCAGCAGAGAGGTCTGCCGCACCATGTGGGTATCTCCCTGGCCAGCCGGGAATTGAACTCATGCTGCAGAGGCTGTGGACAGCATCACAGTGCTGTGCTCAAGCCACTGCACCACCAGGAAGGTCCCTTTCCTTTTATTTTTTTTAAAGATTTATTTATTTATGCATACAAGAGCTGGGGTACAGGTCAGAGGTGTGGGAGGTGAGAGGATTCACTAGAGACAGAGTGAGAAATAGAACAGGCAGATTGACTGAAATACACTTTTTTTTATTTAGAGGCATGTTTTTATTTATTTGTTTGTTTGTTTGTTTGTTTTTGTTTATACAAGCACTGGGTAGTCAGAAGTGTGGGAGGGTGAGAGAATTCACCAGAGCCAGAACGGGGAGCAGAGCAGGCAGAAGGACTGAAGCACACTGCTGAGGGGAGCAGCGGGCAGCAGGAGAGGTCTGCGCGCCATGTGGGACCCTCCTCTGGTGGCCGGGAAGCAGCCGGGGATCTAACTGGCGCCTCAGAGGCCGCAGGCAGCTTTGCAAACCAGCGCTCAACCGCTGCGCCACCAGGGAGGCCCTGAAATACACTCTTGAGGCAGGCAGTGGGCAAGTCAGGAGAGGTCTCCTGTGCCATGTGGGCAGCTCCCTGGCTGGGAATCAAACTCATGCTGCAGTGGCTGCAGATAGCTTCATAGGTTGTGTTTTAACCCCTTGTGCCACCAGGGAGGCCCAGTTTTTCCTTTTCGTTTTGCTGATATGGTGCATTATATTGATTGCTTTTTGGATGTTTGAGCCATCCTTGTGTTTGTGTTATAAATCCCACTTAGTCATGATGTATAATCATTTTAAAGCATTGCCACATTTAGTTTTCTAAGATTTTATTGAAATCTGGTTTCATTAGGGAGATCAGTCTGCAGTTTTCTTTGTTTAGGTGTTAGTATAATGTTGGCTTCATAAAAGTGTGTTTGGAAAAAATTTCTTTCTCAACTTTTGGAAAGAATGTGGGCAGCATAGTTATTATTTCATCTTTGGAAGTTTGATAGAACTCATTTGTGAAGCCATCTGGTTCTGGACTTTCATTTTGGGGGAGAGTTTTGATTACTGTTTCAATTTCCTTGCTTATGATTGGTTTGTTCAGGTTTTCTATTTCTTCCTTATTCACTCTTGGATGATGGTATAATTAAAAGAATCTGTCCACTTCATCTTGGTTGTTGAATTTGTATGCATATAAATCTCTTATTATCCTCTGAATATCTACAGTGTCTTTTGCAAATTTTCTTTCATTTTGGCTCCTTTTTATTTGATTTTTTTTTAAGATTTATTTATTTATTTATTTAGACAAGCACTGGATACAGTCAGAAGTGCGGGAGGGTGAGAGAATTCACCACAGCCAGAGCGGGGAACAGAACAAGAAGACCAATGAAATACACCACTGAGGGGAGCAGCGGGCATGGCAGGAGAGGTCTGCGCACCATGTGGGACCCTAGCCAGTGGCCGGGGATCGAACCGGCACTGCAGAGGCTATGGGCAGCTTCACAGCCCAGCGCTCAACTGCTGCGCCACCAGGGGAGGCCCTATTTATTTGATTTTTCATCAGTGAGTCTAGCTAAAGGTTTATCTACTATTCATTTTTCAAAGAAAGAGCTTTGGGTTTTCTTGCTCTTCTGGACTGTCTTTTTATTTCTTTTTAATTTTTTTTATTTATATATTTTTACACCATTGTTCATTCTCTTCTCAGGTGTAATCCCCACAAAATTACCACCACCAAGATATCTATGAACCGTCACTGTAATCTTGTCCTCTTCCCTCTCTCCCTCCCCAGCTGAATATCTGGATTCATAACTGGCCTCCTACTTTTTTCTCCCCGCTGCCGTCTTTATATCTTTTTAAAATTTTAAAATTTATTTTTGCATAGAAGAACTGGGGTGTAGGCCAGAGGTGCTGGGAGTGATTGTGTACCAGACACTTAACAGCACAGGTG